TAATTGTGTTGTATACCTACAATGTACCAATAAAAGAATTTTAAAAAAACACACAAAACAATTCATAGGGATTTTGAGTGTTTCCCACACAAAGAAATGATGTTTGAGGTGATAGACATACCAATCATTCTAATCTGATCGTACACATTGTAGACATTTATTATAATATCATACTGTACCTTATAAGTGAGGCAGAAAGAGCTGCCAAACATTATTTGAAATGGATAATTATTGTATAATATCTGTTAATGAACTTTGTGTTAAAACCCTGTTTGAAACTTGTTTGAAACTTGTCCATGTTTGAAAACTCTGGGTGAGACTTCTCCCTCTTGTGGGACAGCCTGTTCCTGGAGAGATTAGAAACTAGCCTTGAAGTGTGTTTACCTAAGTATTCCATAACTAAAGCTGATACCACACCCTTGACACATTCTGTAATTGCAACTTATGCTATCCTTGCCACCTAATGCTGCTTTATCATGCCCTTGCCACATTCTGGTATGTAACTACAAGTTAAACTGCCCTGTAAAAGGTATAGAAAGGAGAAACTGTCTTAACTTGTGGTCAGCCTAGAAGGACTCATTTCCTGAGGCTCTCTATTGCCTGGCAATAAACTTCTTTTTTATTTTACCAACTTTCCTTTCTCTGAAAGACCATTTTGATTTGCCACAATATTTGGTGCATTGGCAGGAAATTGAGATCATCTTCTGGCCACTTGGCCAATGGATTGAACCCTGCTGGAGTGAGCTTGGCTGTCTGACTCCTCTGAGGGGAAGGGCACCCCTGGGAGAATTTTCTCAGTGCCCCCCCCCCCCCGTACTCTCAAAGCCGACCTTGTCTACAGTGGCTTGACCAGACACAGAACAAGAGACAAGGAGACGTGGGACGGAGTGACCATGTGAGTGACTGACTTTGGACTGGATAGGCCACCCTGGGAAAAGCGTAAGATTCAATTTTCAATCTGTTTCCTAACACACGTCAGAAGAAGGGTCAGATCACCCCTTACCTGGGAATAGCACATTCCCATCTGGTAGGGGCTTTTTTAGGTCCTGATGGGACTTTTGAAGTCCCGTTTGTTGGGGCTCTTCAGAGGCCTATCTTGTATGGGCTTTACCAGTCCTGTCTGATGGGGCTGTTGGGAGTCCTGTCTGTGAAAATTGAGTTAGGGCCATCCCAGGTGGGCAGGAATGTTTAACCTCTGAATGACTGCTTGAATGTGAGACTGAATATGAATGGACAGTGAAAACCATAGGCTGTTCCATCTGTGTTCTAGACTAAAGGGGGGCACCTCTGTGTTTAAATATCCCCCTGAGGTTATGGACATGAGTGGGCCTGATCTGCGATTCTGTGGACTCATCTAATGAAGGGCTAAGTGGCTGTTCTCATGACAAGATAAATACACTCTTATGCCTGGATGATCCTGAAAGTGCTGGTTATGCAGCCAGACAGGCCCCTGTGTGGATCATCTCTGATGGTCATCCTCCTTTGTTTATCTTGTGTCTCCATATCAGGGTACCCATACACACACCAACACACTGATTGGCCAATCATGGGGACAGGAACATCACATCCTACTGTTTTAGAATGCATGCTTAAGAATTTTAAGAAAGGTTTTACTGGAGATTACAGTATTAAGATGAAACCCCAAAAACTTAGAACCTTTTTTGAGTTAGAAAGGCCCAAGCTTTGTCCAGCTTGGCCACACAAGGGATCCCTAGATGAGGGTCTTGTCTGTCTGTCTGGCAGTCACTGCTCCCAGGCAGGAACATCCAGATCAATATCCCTATATTGATTCATGGCTCAGCTTGTGATGCAGAATGCCTCCTTGGCTTCATATGTGCACCATGGAAACAAAAAGAGTCATAGATGGGGTGAGACAATACCTCAAGACCAAGGTACCCCAAGATGAGGAAAATGAAAAACAATGAAACTTAGGGAGCATGTCAAAAAAACATCCAGACAGCTCAACCAAAAAAGGTTATCTCTCTTGAGGCTTTAACTGAGACCTTGACAGCTTGGAGCCTTGTACTCCCAGCTTGAGAGCCTCTCAAACTTCTGCTCCATGGCAACCACCCAACTGGTGAGAACAGTTTAATTTCCATCTTGAAACAACTGCTTGCCAAATCTGCTGTCTTTCTCACCATGGACTCGCCTCTCTCAAAAAATGTGACATCATTACAGGGAAATCCCAAGGCTCCCCTCTGGAGGAGGTAGAGCTGCCTTCCCCTCCACTTGAGTTACTAAGTTCACAGATGCAGAGGAGGTGGGGATAAAAGCATGAAAACTGCTTTAGTGCATCAGAGGGTGCATGCTGTGGTCAGACTCAGAGAGGATAGAATATGCTTGCACTCAGATTGGAAAAAACTGAAAAAAAATTAGTAATGGATTGAAAACAGCTAAGAAAGGTCTGAAGAGCATAAAACAGAATAGTGAAAAAAAACACTCTTGGCTTTAAAAGCCAAGGCCCTCGCTATGGTATCAGCCTAATGCTGCTGTGAAGGTCTAGAATCCGAAACAAAGCCAGAGAAACTGCAACTGTGCTCTATCAGACGTAAAGTGATTTTACAAGAGAAACCAAGTTACAAATTTTAGCTAATTGATAAATGTACCTTTGTTTCAATTTGATTTGATGTTTAATTGGTATGCTTAAAATATTTCTTGTGCATTACAAATTCTTCAATTGTAATTATAGGGTTAACTTGCTCTTTTCTGTACTTTGTTGATGAAAAAGTCAAGGTTACTTCTGTTCTATTGGCAGCCAGCCAAATTTAAAGTGTAACAATCTGAGAATAAAAAAAGACACTTTAAAATTTTAACAGGTAAAGGCAAGTTTGTTATAGAGTTTATAGTAAGTGAGATGGAGAAAAATATTAAGAAAGCTATAAGTAAGAGATATAATTTTGATATAAAAGGATTTTGTATGTTTGTCTTGTTAAAAGGATAAAGAGAGATATACAAGATCATAAGGCCTAGGTATGTTGAGAAGGTGTACAGAAATGATTTATCAAGGAAATATGTATGTTTACTTATTGGTTTCAAGTTTGTTATAAAAGGTTTGCATTTAGAGACATAAAAAGACTTACATCAATGAATATTACTTAAATATATATGTGTACATTGTAATATATATGTGTAATATATGTACAATATGTGTACATTGGTCATCTTCAAAGGGTTTAAAAGCCAGCAGGTTACAATATGACCTCCTCCTTTCTAATGAGCCAAAAATGGACTGTTGAGAAGGGACCAAGGCCCTCCTCAAGTTCCTGCAAGATGCAGGATATAAAGTCTCATGGAAAAAAGCACAACTCTGTCAGACCAAAATGCAATATTTGGGATTTGATTTAGAGAAAGGACAGAGGAGGCTAGATCCGGAGAAAAAAGAAGTCATTTGTTCTCTGTCAAGACCCACCACCAAAAAGAATCTCCAAGAATTCCTTGGGACAGCAGGATTCTGTAGAGTCTGGGTTCCAGGGTTAATGGAGAAAACAAAGCTGCTGTATGAAATGCTAAAAGGCAAGACAAAGAAACACTCCAACTTAAAATGGAACACTGAACAAGATTCATCCTGCAGAGGACTGAAAAAGGCTTTAAGTGAAACTCCTGCTCTTGGCATCCCGGATGTCACCAGACCCTTCAACTTGTTTTTAGATAAGAAAAATCATGTTGCCTTGGGGTCCTAACTCAAAAATTGGGTCCCTGGGAAAGACCTGTCACATACCTCTCGAAAGCTTTGGACCCGCTGGCAAGACAATGGCCTCCCTGTTTATGAGCTGTAACTCCTGCAGTTACATTAATAAAAGAAGGTGACTTTAGGACAAGAACTGTGTATACTTCTCATTCAGTAATGAATTTATTAAATAGTAAAGGCCAAAACTGGCTTGCCAACAGCCACATCACTCAATACCAGGCACTGCTATGTAAAAATCCTCGTCTGACCATCACAGTTGTAAAATCTCTAAATCCTGCAACTTACCTGCCCTCTGAAATGGGTCCACCTGACCATGACTGCCTGATGACTGTTGATGAGGCCTATACTAGCTGACCAGACCTTCAGATGACTCCCTTGACTGAAGCTAAGTACACCCCTTTTATGGATGGAAGTAGCTCAGTTAGGGAGGGAATCCACCGTTCTGGATATGCAATAGTGACCACTGAAGAGATGCTGCTAGCCAGACCTCTTCCAGCTGGATGGTTGGCATAAAGGGCAGAACTATGGCCTTTGTTTCAGACACACAAATGGTCAAAAGGGAAGAAAGCCAACATATATATTGATTCCAGATATGTTTTCTCCACTTTATATGCCATCGTATGCTGTACAAAGAGAGAGGATTGCTTATAGCAGAAGGAAAACAAGTTAAAAATAAAAAAGAAATCCTGAAGCTCCTCAATGCAGTTTGGGAGCCACTGAAGGTAGCTGTCATCCTTTGCAGAGACCATCAGAAAGTGAAAGATTCCATTACTCTTGGGAACTCAAAGACAGATGTGGCAGCCAAAAAGGTGGCCGACTCCAGCACAGAACTTATAGGAAACCTACAGAACACCCAAGAGGAATCCAAAAAGACTGACTTACACTACTCAGACAAGGAAGATGAATGGAAACAGGGTCAGAAAGCCCATAAAGGAAAATACAACTGAGTGATCCCTGATGGACAGGTAGTCATTCCAAAGAGACTAGCTATGCATGGGTCAAGAGACATCATGATCTCATACATGCAGGGAAAAATTCTCTAAATGAACTCCTTCAGAAATACTACTACATTTTTCAAATCTCCATACTTTGTGCCCTTGTCTGGTGAAAATGCAGCACGTGTGCCAGAGTAGAACCCAGCCAAAAACCTTGGCCAGTGCCCAGGATCCAATACATTGGAAGCTCTCCTTTTGAAGACATACAAATAGACTTCACAGAAGTGAAGCCCTGAAAAGGCTACCGATATTTATTAGTTTTAATCTGTACCTACTCAGGATGGGTTGAAGCTTTCCTCAGTAAGACAGAAAGGACCCAAAAAGTGTACAGGGTCCTTCTAAGAGACATCACTCCAAGATATGGACTCCCCCTGACCATCAGCAGTGAGAACAGTCCAGCCTTTATAGCAGAAATAGTCCAGAATTTGACTAAGTTGCTAAAAATAAGATGGAACTTGCATGCTGCCTACCGTCCACAAAGTTCAGGGAAAATAAAAAGGATGAACAGAGCCATAAAGTTAACTCTCACTAAATATTGCTTAGGGACCTCAGCTCCTTGGGGTAGATCTCTTACCCTTTGCCTTGATAAAAATTAGGATTATGCCTAGCAAAGAAAAATTCTCCCCATTTGAGATCCTGTTCAGAAGGCCACCACCACTGATTAAAAGCCTTAGAGGCAATACACAAGAAGTAGGAAGCCTAATGTTTAACCAACAGCTTGAAGATTTAGGACACATTCTTCATCAGCTTCACAAATATTATGGGAAAAGGGATAACATCCCCACAGACATTCCTGCTCATTCATTTGAGCCAGGGGACCAAATTTATATAAAAGACTGAAAAAGGACTCCCTCACCCCAAATTGGAAAGGGCCTCATGTTATTTTTATGACAACTCCCACAGCAGTAAAAGTTGCAGAAATCCAGCCTTGGATCCATCATTTAAGAATCAAGGAATTTCATCCAGGAGACACCTGGATGTGAGAGCCGGATCCAGCAAATCCACTGAAGGCGACCCTGCTGAGTGCATACTCTCAAAGCCCTGCCCCTGTCACTCCAGAAGCTGACAGGTCAACTCACAGCAGAAGAAATTAAAGGATACAACACTCTCAAAAACCCTGCTGACAGACTGACATATGGCTAAAAGCTCATAAATAGTTGTACTGACTTGTTGAGTAGGACTTTCCTAACCACCATTGTTGTTGTTTAGTTTTATTATTGTTTTGTTATTATTGTTGAATGTTTAGTTCTAATTGGGTTCCTCTTTGGCATTGCTCTGGGTGTTAATGCCCCAAAAGACTAGAACACTTACCAAAATGCTGGCTTGCTATCATATATTGGTGTATCATCTCACTCTTCTGGGTTCTTATATGTTTAAGGTAAATGCAGAACATTGGGACTTTGAACTGAGTATGTACAAGCCTAAAGATTAAGTTTGATGCCCAAACTAAACTAAATTAAAGGGCATAAAGTTTCATACATATAATTGTGATAATTATTATTGATAATTTTCTGAAATACTAAATTAATTCATGGTTTCTGACTATACAGATTTTATAATATATTGTTTATGGTAATAACCTCCTTTTGATTCAGGTATTTACCTTTCTCTTACACTCCAGCTACTTATGATAACAGGTGCATTTATAGCCTGATGTATTTTCTTTAGGTGGCATCCTATCAAAGGACAACAATTTAGATGAGAAATTTTTATGCTTTTGGAGGAGAATGAGTGCATTTAACAATGGCTATTTTATATTAAGATGGACATATAAGTATATGGCAAAGATAATGTCACTATAATTGTCATGCCAAAATGTTATGTATGGCTCTTGATTTGAAGTTTTTTCTGTTAACATTTTACAGAAATTCAACTACTAGAACAACTATGATTGATAAAAAATAAGTCTTCGAACTATATTTTATATTTCAAAGTGTTTGATATCCAGGTAAAATTATAATAATTAAGTTCACTACTCTCATTACAATGCTAATGTTATTGATCTTCTCTTCTGGATGTCCAACAACTAAAGTTCAGAGACCAGAACTAGAAAAGTAACTGGGGTAAAATGACAGCCAATATTTTGACCCTGGCCCTTCAAGAGACAACCTACAATGTGGGAAAAAATTTTCGCCTGCTGTTCCTCAGACAAAGGTCTACTATCTGGAATCTATAAAGAATTTAGAAAAATCAGACCTCCCAAATTTAACGACCCAATCCAAAAATGGGCATTTGAAATGAACAGACATTTCTCAGACAAAGAAGTAGAAATAGCAAATAAACATATGAAAAAATGTTCAACATCACTGATCATTTTAGAGATGCAAATGAAAACAATGCTGAGATTACACCTCACCCCAGAAAGAATGGCTTCTATCATGAAATCAATCAATAACCAATGCTAACAGGGCTAAGGGGAAAGAGGAACACTGTTCCACTGCAGGTGGAGTGTAGACTGGAGCAACCATTGTGGAAATCATATGGAGATGATAGGAACAGTGGAAGGGGATATTACTAGAACCTCTGCAGTGAGTCCTAGTCTCCTGTGAGCCATGGCAGCACAAGGTGAGTTAACTCGTTATATAGGAAAGGTAGAAAAAATGAGACTTGGAGAAGAAACTGAGCTTTGGGTCTGATTAGTGATGCTCTGGGCACAAAGCTGAAAGTCCCTGAGTTTGCCACACATTTTATTCGTATTCATTGGGAGAAACAGATGTAACAAATGACTCAGGACAGAGTTCAGTACATCAGATAGAGAGTTCACTACATCGAGAGAAACAAATGTAACAGGTGACTGGAAAGCGAGGAAATTCCTAGATCAATGAGGAACTATGCAGATGAAGATTTTGTTCCTCCCAGGATGTCTTCAGCTGCTGTAATCTTGTCCTGGAGCATCACAGCATCACCAGATCATTGAGGTCTCAGTTGTGACTGGACTCCAAAATGGAATTATGTCTCAAAATGCCATAGCTGGCCTGTAGGCAGGAGAACTAGGCCTAATCAAATGATTTTCCCCCAAAATTATGCAGCATTTCTCCTGACAGGATCTGCCTCAAAGAACTAGGATTGGAAGCCACATTTGAATCAGCTATTTCCCTCCTGGGTATCTTCCCCAAAGAATTTAAAGAATGATACCACAGTGATATAAGTGGACCCATGTTTATAGCAAGAAAATTAGTGATAGCTAAAACTTGGAAACAACCCAACTGGCCATCAACTGGAGACTGGATAAAGAAAATGTGTGTGGTTTTTTTTAGTAAAATGGAGTATTACTCAGCCATAAAGAATGAGAAACTAGAGACATTTATAGCTAAATGTGTGCATATTAAGGTGATACCCTTAAGTGAACTAAATAGGACACACGTGTAAATACCGAATATTTTCTCTAGTGTGAGAAATGAAAAGTGTAAATAAGGACTAAAAGGTATAATAGATAATGTGAAACAGGAAGAAAAGGTGCAAAGGGGAAGGGGAAGTGGGAGGGGTGGGGGTAAAGAAAGAAGGGAATGGAATTAATATGAGAAAATGAAAAAATGGAAACAAACTCTTTGTAGATAGGGAGGGATGGAGGGGTTGAAGGGAGGGCAGGGGAACATGGAAAAAATAAGAACCAAGATATAAAGGTGCAAATTTCCAATGATGAATGTCATTATATTGTATACCTTAAATGTACCAATAAAACTAAAAAGAAAAGAAAAGAAAAGAAAAAGACCCCTCAGATGATGGATTCCTTTGGCTACATTTTTAGACTTCAGACTTTGGCAACTCACTGTCAATATACACAGGACTCAGGTTCAAAGGACTTGTCAGTACACAGAAAAATTCCACTGGACCACATCATCTAAATGAATGCAAAGAAGTAACTTGCTTCAACAGGATCAGGTTTGAGTGAAGTAAACGAGTTAACCAGAACCTCCCTAATAGCCTCTGCCTGAACTTTACCCTTTTTCCTCCCCTGATTGTTTGTTCAAAGTGATAAGTTGACCAGCACATAATTTACGTTGTGGTTAAGAACAAAGGACAGGACATGTTATACTGTAGCTCTAACTATAAAGATAGGAATTTCCCTCCAGATCCCCCAAATTGGATTTTTTTTTTTTTTGTACCAGGGATTGAACTCGGGACCTTGCGCTTACGCAGCAGGCAGTGAAACCACTGAGCTAAATCCCGGCCAAAATTGGATTTTAATCTGACTCGCTATCTGCTTCTGTACCCCTGTGCTTGCTCAAAGATGAGATCATGATATTCTATCATGTGGTTTTTTTCCCTTTAAAAACTGGGTTTCAATACCAAGGGAGATGGGAGCATGAGCTCCCCCTCTGGTCACTGGCTAATGGAAGGACACTTTTAATTTGGACATTTTTGTGGAGTGGTCTTTTTTGCTGGGATAGCTGTAACACTGGATAGATTCCAAAGTTGTGCTTACCTTGAAAGTTGGAAAGACTCAAAGAAAACATATTGAAATGAAATAACAAATGACTGGGTTGTATGATTCTGGATCATTTGCTTAATTTCACTGAGTCTTCATCCCCCTCTTGAAAGACATTACCTCCATTACAGGATTTCAGTAAGCATAAATAAGATAATACATGTGTAATTCAATTTTTTAAAAGATATACAGGCTTCTAAGATAAACCTCTGAAAATAGATACAAATAGAAACAATATCTGAGGAAGTTTACATCTGGGAATATGAAATAGATTAAATATTTCTCCTATTAAATACAAGTAAAAATCCTGGATATTATGTATAAAAAACATGAAGAGGCTCTAAAAATTATAGAAAAGAAGGGAAATCTTGTAGGATTTCAACAGAAGACATCCTGGTGAGTTCCTTGTATTTTCTTTTTACCTTACATATTGCAGATTCAGAGCTGAAGAGAATGGCAACAGGAGAATATCAATAACAGAGACAATTATAGCCCCCAAAAAGCTTGGTCCTTCTGGACAAAGCACCATGGAAAGGAGCAACCAAGCAAGACAAAAACTGCTAAATAACAACTGGTCTGCTCTAGTGTAACACTGTGAAGCTTTGGGTGGACATCTAGATACAAACTGGAACAGATGACTGTTGACTGCTTACTTCTCAGAGCATTATTTTGACCCTTTCTCACATCATTTTTTAAATGTAATCATCACAACAACCCAGTGAAGCAGTGTTATTTAAGCCATTCCTATTTTATAAATGTGAATGTGTTGCACAGAGATGTTAAGTAACTTCCCCAAATATTGTAACGAGGAAGTTTATGGCAGAATTCAGAAACAAAACTTTTAACTCCCTAACCTTTTTTTTTTCATTGAGAAATTTAGAAAATGCTGACCTCATCACCATTATTCTCAGCAGGATACTCAGGTAGACATTTCCAATCAGAGGTTAAAACTTTAGTATAGATGGTACACATTAAAAGTCAGCTTAGAGCTCTTTCAGGGCTGACAATGCAGTGCATTACCATAGTTCTTGAAAAATTTCAGATAAAAAATAAGAAAATTTTGATGTAGACCCCATGGAAAATTACCACTAAAAGATGTGGGAATAAAGAGAAAAAGAGCTCAAATAAGAAATTTCCCTTAGGAAGGTAAATGGAAAATGTTGGGTGTGCAATCTCTATAGAGAAGGGAAAGGCTGAGTAAAGTATGGAGTCCCTAAGGAATTAAAGACATATCATGGTTTAAGGAGTAAATACAAACCCTGAATTTTCTTTTAATGCCTAGATCTATTCTCTAGGAAAAGACTGAGCAAGCTTCTTCCTTGCATGTAGGCAAGAGCATTATGTCGTTAAACTCCTGTTAAATCTTCTGGTTTCTCATGCGGTGGAAAATGTGATTATAAGAAAGGTTGTTTTTCTCAAAAGCTGATGTTTTTTAGGAGAAATAATTATCATTGTAAATTATTACTACTAGTTCAGAAGGATATCCAGAAATATGAGAAGTTAAGCCTGTGCTGCATCCTCTTGTACTTGAAGCAACTAAAGCTCAAGAGCCTGGTGTTCTCCTTCTCCTGCTCCAGAGTAAAAACCCATAAGGAAGGACTGAAATTTCCACTCTTATAGAGGGTAAGTTTGAAATCTATTTATATTAATGTCATCTATTTTGCCATCTCATTCAGAAATTATTAGCATTTATAATTATATATATGATGCTTACAAATTAATATGTTGACATAAGGGTTATGAAATGATCTGAACAAAGAGGGTAATTTACACATCCATTACCTGTACATAGTTATCCTTTTTGTATGTGGATTATGTATGCATATAAGATCTTTTCCTCTAACTGTAGTTATACAATATTGTATTATTAGCTACTGTAAACATGTTATAAAATAGGTCTCCAAAGCTTGTCTTGTATAATTGACTTATTTCACTCTTTGTCCAACATCACCTGATTTTTCCTCCATTGGGTAATGAAAAAATCCTACTCTCTGTTTATATAAATGTTACTATTTTATATTTTTATATTTAGGTGAGATCCAGAATTATTTCTGTCTTGCTTCTTATGCTTACCATAATAATGTCATGTTTTGAGATGAAGTCCAGGGTTCTAAGATATGTTATTTTTTGATTATCTACAACCCTAAGACTCAAGTGAGACTAATAGAAGAATATCTTTGGTGGAAGCAAAGTCTGTTCAGAGGATTAGTGGACATAGGTGTGCAGTATTTTAATAAGTAAGTTCTTTATCCATAGCCATCACCCTCATTCTTCAAGATATTTAAGTTTTTCTATGTCAGGAGGTAGTAACTGAATTATTTCCAGAGCCTGGTTCTTTTGTTTTAGATTAGAAATTGTTCACAGTTTTAACCTCACCAGATTTTAATCTGTTTTAGAGGTCAACACAAAGATGAAAAGTCTCTGTCTCCAGTTTTTTGGTGAAGGAAACATCCAGCAAAGAAAGAAATGATAAGATGAGCAAAAGACAATAGAATGCTGGATCAAGCATTTTCTTTTTGTTGTTTGATTTTCTATCAGTCATGTTTGCATATAGTAACACTGATTCTAGCTTGTTGGCTAGATTGGTAATGTTCATTACTATAATTAGCTATTTCAGGTCTAATAAGAAGAACACGATGTCACTCAGTATCATAGTAACTTTAAAGGCAAGTCGTATGGATGTTGGTTTGATATTTCAGACACTCCTGTCATTGTTGTAAGAGTTAGGTGGGTTCTGATGTAACCTGTTTTATCTCTGTTCACAGATTATCTTAGAGAAGAATGGCTCCTGAAAATAGCTCTTTTGTGAATGAATTTATTCTGATGGGATTGACAGACAAGCCTGATATCCAATTACCCCTGTTTTTCCTGTTTCTAGTGATGTATATGGTAATTGTGTTGGGAAATTTGGGTTTGATAACTCTTATTGTTCTGAATTCACACCTTCACACTCCCATGTATTTTTTTCTCTTCAACTTGTCCTTTATTGATTTCTGTTATTCTTCTGTATTTACACCCAAAATGCTCATGAACTTTGTATCAAAAAAGAATATCATCTCTTATAGAGAATGTATGGCCCAGTTGTACTTTTTCAGTTTCTTTATCATTTCTGAATGTTACATGCTGACCTCAATGGCTTATGATCGCTATGTGGCCATCTGTAATCCACTGTTATATAGCAAGGTCATGTCCCCTAGAGTGTGTTGCAACCTAATGCTTGGTTCATACCTAATGGCATTTACTGGTGCCATGGCCCACACTGGATGCATGCTGAGAGTGGCCTTCTGTGATGCAAACACCATCAACTACTATTTCTGTGACATTTTCCCTTTGCTTGAGCTCTCCTGCACCAGCACCTATGTCAATGAATTGGAGGTGTTCATTGTGGTGGGGATCAACATCATTGTGCCCAGTGTCACCATCTTTGCCTCTTATGGTTTCATTCTCTCCAATATTCTTCAACTAAGGTCCATGGAGGGCAGGTCCAAAGCCTTCAGCACCTGCAGTTCCCACATAATTGCAGTTTCTCTGTTCTTTGGATCAGGTGCATTCATGTATCTCAAACCTTTCTCTGCTGGATCTATGGATGAGGGAAAAATCTCTTCTCTTTTTTATACTATTGTGGTACCTATGATGAACCCTTTAATCTACAGCTTCAGGAACAAAGATGTTAAAGTTGCCCTGAAAAAAACTGTGAGCAGGGGAAAGTTTTGATCTTATTCAGTATCTCTCTGTGCATTGTGAAGAGATTGTGTTTACTTAAAATATTTTTAGTGGCAGCTTTCTTAAATTTCTTTTTTATCCAGAGGAAGGAAATTTGAAGCACATTTTATTTTATAATTTTTTTGCAGTAGATTTTCTTTTCTTACTAGTTCTACAATTTCTCCTTTATCATCTTTACTGTTCACAAATTGTGTTATAAAAAGCAATTTTTTCCTTTTATTTTTATGATGTTTTTCTCAATGAAAATTTCTGCATATGATTAAATAAAGTAAATCTAGATGGACAGTATGTCCTTAGGTAGGACCGTTCTGATTTGCCACTTGTAACAAAGCATGAATCAGATAACTTGTCTCTATTCAATATTTCCAGTCCTCTACTAGGCAATAATGTGTGTCTTTCAAATATTGATATTTCATTGAAATAGGTATTTCTGCATAATCTATCCAATACAACCCACACTGCAGCTATAAACACTACACAACTTTTCAGAAAGTTTGTATTTATTCATATACAGTCTACATAGCAAATAGTAAATTGTCACTATATGTTTATTGTATAGATGAAACACTGGATTTGAAAGAGGCCAATAATGTACTTAAAATTCCTACAGCTCTTTAAAGCATAAGTTTAGAACAGACTGTTAATCTCTGGATTTCAAATCTACAACTTTTTTCTGGAATACCTTCTGTTTATTTCATGTTCTCATATTTTTCAAGTATAAATTATAAGAAAATGTCTCTGCTTTGAAAGTTGATGCTATTCTTGGAGGCTGCATGACTTTTTCTAAGGATTATTATTGCTTTATTATAATTATTTTTGTTCAGGATAATAAGTTGATGGTTCTTTTATTGGGAAAGAAAACCTGTGGGACTAGTATAGATGGGAGGTGATTGCCTCAAATATGGAACAAAGTATTTTGGAAAAAACAGATTAGAATTGGATTTTGAGTTATTTTAATGAGAGAATAGGGACTTGCGAGAGACTAGAATTGAGACTAGTTCTCAAATAAACAGATAATTAAGAAGATATCTCTTGTAGAGAATGACCAATGAAAATTTGAAGAGAATTGTAATCTGAGTCTGTATTCTCTTTTGTAGAGTACTGTAATTGTCCTTCACTGTTCATAAAGCTTTGGTAAATCTTTTGAACTCAAACGATCATATCTTAATTGTGTTTTGAAAATAAAAGTTGTCACATTTGTGGGGAATCAGGAAGACAGTGAGTGAATGATAGTTGAAATTCAAGTTAGGAAGAAGGAATTTAAAAGTAAAATAGTGGAATATGGAAGGTATTACTATCTTATTTTGTGGAAGAAGCTAGCAACATGAATTTCATAATTTTTTTTCTGGCTCAGAAATAGGCTTATGTTATTTGAATTTTTTTCCTTTTGAAAAATATTTATTGAGTATAAATAAATGTACTATACATTAAATATCAAGAAATATTCATTATTGATTACAAGTCAGGCTGTAATACTGAAGAAACCATAGAATTAAAATATCAACTCATGATACAGTAGTGCCAATTCCATTCCAATACTGGACACAGTAATTTGCTCACAAGACACCACAAAACCTATCAAAAACGCCATCATTACGCCACCTATAATACCACAATAGAAAATGGTGTTGAAACATAATATGAACAGTCTCAAAAATCTCATCTTTATATTATCAATTTATCAAGGTCACGTTGAAACTGTAAAGTTATACTGTCATAGAACTTACTAAAGATTCTTGTCTCCTTGATTTTATTTCAATTATTAATGAATGAAAACAAGTCATACAAAGCTAAAGATTCTTTTAACTTAGTCTTTCACAAGAGAAAAAGAATCAAATTTTAATACAAAGAAAGCTTCCTCCAAGCAATGAATTTCTTAATGGAGGATGGAGAAAGAGCAGTAAAATTAATCTTTCCTTCAAAAAAGGAAAGAAACTGAAATCTGTTGATAATTTGGAAATATTTCCTAGTCCCAGAAGATGTGTTTATTTTACAGGATATACTTGAATGATGCAAGTCTATGAAGCAGGGATCTGTGGCAATCCAAATTCATCCACCAGGACTCCATCTTTGTTTTTAGTGTAGGTGGGAACAACTTCTGGTATTGCAGGTGTAGATGCTGCTTCATCCAAGTAAGAACTATCATCATCAGGCAGAAGCTCATCACCAAGTGGATCCAATTCTGCTTCTAAGTCATCTTCATCTAATTCTGCAGTGCTATAACTGTGACTCAGTGCTTCTTGAATTTCATTCGCATCTTCCTTCATATCCTCTAGTTGGTCTTGTAAATCCTCAATCTATTTTCACTTCCTTGTATGCCTTCTTCATTTCTTTTACTCCCTGTTTCAGAGCATCCACCATAGTCTTGGTGTCCTTCAATGACTGGATGGCATAATTGGCTTATTCCATGTTAAAGAGCTGTTGGGCAAGGTTGTCCTGCTGCTGCTCGTACATCCACTTTTGCTTTAAAATTCGCAAGGCTTTCTGCTTGACCATATTCTTTGAAGGACCCTCTCTCATCTTCTTGATTTGATCCTTGTACTTCACTAGCTCAGCATCCAGTCGGGGAAATCTTATCAATCGATTCTGCTCTACTGTCCACTGTGCCAATGAAGTCAGTCAGGCTGGGGGGGTGGACCCTTGGGTTTCGCTTTCCTGGAAATCCTTTCATCTTGAGCGGCCGCCTGTTGATTTTAAAGAAAGGTCACCTCTGAGGACAGAAGGACCAGGGAACAATCAAATCACTTCTGGTTTTGAAATATTATTCCCATATGGAATTTAAGGAATTAAATCTTCATATTTTATCAGAGAAAATGATGAGTAGCTTTAAAATTCTTAGGAGAATAAAAAAAATTGTGTTGTCTTTTGAAGAGCAGGATGATGGATGATTTTCCTTGTGAGAAAATGGCAAAAAGGTGACCACTCTGAAATTCTTAGTCTGATATCCCAAATGACAATTTAACTGTTTTCCAAAAAGAACTGTAACAATATATGTCATTTCCACTATTTTCTATTTTTCATTAAATATTTGGGTATTGTTATATTCAGGATAAATCCTTTGTTGACTTTTTTGTATCTAAATGTACAGGACTGCTAAAGTCTTATTTCAAGGATGTTATCATTCCTTCCCTAACTGATGACTTGAATATCAACATATTTGATTGTTCTCAACAATTTTTTCTTCTATATAATGCAAAGTTGATTTTAAAGAAAATTGTTTTTTATGTACAATACCTCTTGATAAATTTTTTCCTTATTAAATAAAAGTGTATTTAAATAAGAAATTAACTTCTATGTCATTGGTACTGTTCACAAACATTTATTGGGTGTTCCATTACTACTTATGTGATCAAATCTGCATTAATCCAGAATCCTTATTTTTCATTTTAAGAACCTCAAAATACAAATAAAATCTGTTATTTTTGTAAAAGACAGACTTCCTTTAAAATTAAGTCCCTTTAAATATGCTTTTTATTTTTATTTTTTTCCCCTTAAATTCTTTTACTGGTACATTTTAGGTGTACAATTACATTCATCACTGCGAATTTATACCTTTACATGATGTATCTTGGTTCTTATTTTTTTCCCATTTCCCTGCTCTCCCTTTAACCCCTCCAACCCTCCCTATTTGCAAAGGCTTTGTTTCCATTTATTTCTTTTCTCATATTTTTCCTTTCTCTTCATTTCTTTCCCCCACCCCTTCCATTTCTCCTACCCCTTTGTTCCTTTTCTTCCTATTTCAGATTATCAAATATTCATTTTAATCTTTATTTATACTTTCTATTTCTCATACCAGAGAAACTATTTGGTATTTACACATACATGTCCTATTTATTTCACTTAACAGTATGTCCTCAATGTGCATCCATTTAGCTATAAATGTCTCTAATTTCTCATTCTTTATGACTGAGTAGTACTTCATTTTATAAAAAAACCCCCACATTTTCTTTATCCAGTGTCCAGTTGACGGGCACTTGGGCTATTTCCAAGCTACAAACTGTGCTGCTATAAACATGTGTGCACATATATTGCTGTGGTATGATTCTTTTAATTCTTTTGGGAAGATACCCAGCAGAGGAGTACCTGGGTCAAAGGAAACCTCTAATCCTAGTTTTTTAAGGTATCTCCATATTGATTAAGTACACTTTTTAAAAATTATAGGCAGTAAAGCCTAAAATACAGCTAATTTAGCTACTAAACTAAGCTCTAAGTATCTGTTTGGATTTCTTTAATTTGGAAATTTAAATCTGTGTCCTTGGTACTCTTTGCAGGCATTTATTGGGTGTTCCATTACTACTTATGTGATCAAGTCTGCATTATTCCAGAACCCTTATTTTTCATTTGAAGAACCTCAAAATATAAATAAAATCTGTTATTTTCATAAAAGACAGACTTCCTTTAAAATTAAGCCTCCTTAAATATGCTTTTTAAAAATTAAGGGTTCCAAAGTCTAAAATATACCTTATTTAGTTACCACACTAAGCTCTGCTTATTTGTTTAGATTTCTATCAAAAAGAAGCTAAGTCTGGCAGTTTACATACTGTTCATAGAGTTAGCCATAGGTTTTTATTGTTATTGCTTCTCAGGTGAATATCATTAAAGAAATTACGGAAAATATATAAAAATTTGCAGTTGTCATAGGCGAGAATTAAATTGGAAGCTACGAGATTTCTCTATGTTACTGTACTTGGAAAGAACACTTCTACCTTAGTGGGAAGCTTGGATTTTTGAGTACAAAACTGGTCCTCTTAGTAAAGATCTGGAAGGAAGTTTTCTATTTGCACTCTGAATTTCTTTAGTGTAAAGTTTCTCTATTCAATCTCTATTGTTTGGGATTGGTTTTGAAATGATTATGATCTGGTGTGCTCTGGTGGAAGGAAGTTGGAGGTAAAAAGTGCTTTGTGTTCTTTATCCTTTACATCCTCAAACTTCAATATTTATTGAATCTCTCCACTCATTCCTCTTCACTCTGGATTCCTACACTACACACA